AATAAGGCACTATGGAAATAAGGTGTAAACTTTAACGTTAGTACAATTAATTAATTTCAATTAATTTGGCTTGCAGCAAGGGGGGTAGGATGGTGTAGGTACTTGTGAGCACTACGTAAAATGGGTGGCATATGTACCTACATTACTTTTTGGATCACTTTAAAAGGCTATACCGGTATATTTGTTTCAGAAAGCCCCTTGCTCTCCTTGTGGTACTTTTCTCTTTAGAACAAAACCAATATTTGCTCTGAACGCATGCGCAGATTAATAAGCGTTACTGTCAGCTACATATTAGATGGAAGATACATTTCATACAAGATCACACACTACCATTGTGTGCTTCTCCTTGTGGTAGAACCCTAATATGTCATACGCATGCATTCTAGCATCGTTAGCGCGATACAAGAATGCTACTGTGACTGCATGTCTTTTGGGATTATGCTTAACTTGGTTCGAGAAATATCATCTGTTGTTTCCAAACTACACTAGTGCGTTTATTTCATCCTTTAATTGTCTTTATTAAAGAGACCAAAAAGTTCATACCCTCAGCTGAACCTCTCCTGAGTAAGTGGCATTAAAACCTGTCAAACTGTACAAAAACCCAGGAAACTGCTCAAATATTGCTGCAGACTCTGTGGCACCTACTGAAAGCATAAATTTTATCAGTCTCTGAGGGCACTCGTTCACCGACGTCGGTCAAGTAGTGCTGTTTACTTTCAATACCTCTGGTGGAAATGCTTCTCAATTGCATTAATCGACATCAGTGTGTATTTTAAATTTAAGTGGTTTTATTGTTAACGCCAAAGGTGGCAACAGAACGTGCTGTTCTGTTACAATTTAATAATTAGATTAGTTCTTGTTAATTGGTCAAAAGAAAATTTGCGTGTTAAATAAAGCAAATTGTTCCTCTTCCATTTCTTCATCTGACATTCAACTTTCTTCCATATATCTCCAGCTGTGAAAAGAATACAAGCACATCTTTCGTGTGTTTTCAAGAAAACAAGAGTATCAGGTTACATACCNGTTTACTTTCAATACTCTCGTTGAAATGTTCCTCAGTTGTATTAACCGACATCAGTGTGTATTTTAAATTCAAGTGGTTTTATTGTTAACGCCAAAGGTGGAAATAGAAACTGCTGTTCCGTGACAATTTGATAATTAGATTAGTTCCTGTTTATCGGTCAAAAGATAATTTGCATTTTAAATAAAGCAAATCATTCCTCTTCCATTTCTTCATCCGACATTCAACTTTCTTCCATTTATCTCCAGCTATGAAAAGAATACTAGCACATCTCCCGTGTGTTTTCGAGAAAACAAGAGTTTTAGGTTACATACCTTTGCGAGGAAAACAAAAGTATCAAGTTAAACATTTTTGTGAAGAGTAAAATTGTCATGTTCGCAACTTTAAATGTATTATTTAATATAAAATGAGCAAAAATCAACGTTAAACACTACAGTAAAATTCGAGAGCTGTCTTGACAAACGGTAATTAATTAATTGTAAGTTATTCTTGGACTGTGAATGAAAATAAACAGATCAAACATACACACTGCTAAGATTATGTCTCATCAAAATCTGTAGCTGTAAGAGATCCATGTCCATTTGAAGGTCAGTTTCTAGAAAGTGTCGTATTTCTTGCTTCTTGCCATTTACTTTTAAATCCACAAAAGAAAATAAATAATTCTCAACTTGTAGGTTATCTGTAGGCTGACTGCATGTCAACTCCCTAGTATGTATTCAGCCTTGTTCCCCCACTTGCTCCACTTAGCCAGTATGTTAAAGTGTCAATAACTAAATTCACCAATTCCTTACTCTGCTTAATAGAAGAAGTGCTCCTATTACAGCAATATTCCTAGAAGCATGTTGGATTTGAGACCAAAACTCCATATGACTAGAACTTCTATACCAGTACTTTGTGTTAAAATCCACTAAAGCCGAGATGACAACCAACTGCCAAACAGCAATGCGGCCAAAGTAGCCTGCTTCGTATCCACCATAGATGAAGAGTGCTGGGATCACATACAGAGCAATAACAGCTATAAGCATCAGCTGACCACCAGGGATGTTCTTATAATGAGCAAGGCGGTCCTCTTCACTCGCCCATACCATGTAGGCATTGCAGAAGAGATAAAAGGCAAGAATTTGACGACCCACTTGAAGAGCTTGGAATACCTTTTGCTGGCCTCGCTGACTGTCAGTGAGTCCTCCAGCAACAAAGAGGTAACCAGCACACACTGCGGCAGTTCTAGCAGACATCCTGACCTGGGGAGACATCATTCATTCTTAGGCCCTGTTTACAGGGAGGAAGGGTGCTTACATTAAAAAGCCCAAAGTTGGCTGTCATCCGCTCCTTTTTCAAGACTTTTGATAATTCTCTGTATGTTTACATTTTCACGAGCTTTCTTTGTTCCAGGGTGGAGAATGTTTGATGATTTTCAGCAATCATATCCTGGGATGTGGGGATTTTGACATTTTATCAGAAATGTGAAAATCCTCAGCCCCTGCCCGCTTCCCCTCACCCACCCCCCTGATACACCTGCGTGTAGGTACACTTTCTTTACTAACTTGATGTTTTCCTAAATATTATGTGTGATGCACTCTGAATCAAGAGCTCTGGTTTTAAGCTCTGGCTCAAGTCTTCTTGAGGAATACATGCGACATGAGAAAATACTGAGAGCAACTCGCCTGATCATATTTGATCACAAGCACTGGAACTTACGTTCATAAAACAATCTTATTCAATCAAATGAACGATTTTTTTTTTTCTGAAGGAGCGAAAGCATTTAGAAAAATAATCGGATTAAAGGCAAGTTCGAGACCTTTTCATATAAACTTAAATCGTAACACAAGTCTGAATTGATAACTTACAATACCAGGTGATATGCTTCTGACAATACTTTACTTGATTATACATGTACACGTTTGCTTTACTTACAATCAAGTATTCCGAAGGACTTTTGTGTTGAAAGAGAGCGGTCGCAGTGTAAACTACTGCATGTAAAGCTGCAGCGAAGCCACATTTTCTCCTTTTGAAATCCAGTGTCATACCCGTCCCACAAACGAAAAACACTGCCGCATTGGCGTACACAAGAACATACTCGCGCCGTAATGTGTCTCTGAATGTGAATATCCGCGCCCCCGGCATGCGCTCGGCTTTCTCTCCAGTGGACATTAGAAGTGTAAATAACTCTATAAATGGAAATCGAGTGACGATAAAGAGGCCTAGAGCGTCTAGTACACGAAGTGTTCTCTCTAATCCAGCCATAGTCCAGGAATAAAGTGAGAAAGTCAATAGCAATGACAAGAGCCGTGGAAGATAGCAGATCAGCAGATGGGGGTCGATACATGCGCCTGCAATTTGTCAGCGTAACCTTTTTGTTTAAGTAAGGTGGCGTGGGGAAGATTATTTTATCAGTTTTGAAGTTTCTCGATTTGCTTATTATTCAATCTACCATCGACTATCTGAAAATTTATGTTGAAAATAATTCAGCGAATAGTTTTGACCTGTAGGTAGGCTTCATAGAACATTTCACTGTTCTTTATTCAAAAACCAAAATTAAAATGAACCGTCTGCCAAAGTTGACGGAGGGATCTCCCGTTAGTCAAGTTTAATCTCTTTGGCCCCTTGGAAACGATCCTTAGCTTTGGTTTGATGAAGTGTAAAGTGTATTCAAGATGTAATTGATAGCAAATGAAGGTCACAACTCTGTCCTAAGACCGCATTTATCACCTGCAAAAGGTCCGAAAAGACAAGAAAAATATTGCTTTTGTAAACATCGAGGTAAGTTGTGCAGTACGCAAATTAGCTTATTTGAAGTGCAAAATTAAAAGCGAAATATTGTCTAAATCGTGCTAAAACGCGTGTGCTTGTGGTTTATCCCGCATTTCTTTTTCCATATTGGCTTACTTCTCGGAAAATCCCGAGTAGTTGATCTTTGATCTGGAAACATCTGATTTTTATAGAGTAATGCGGGAAAATATAGCTCGTTTTGCAAGCGATATTGTATATTAAGGTTATGGAGCGTACCTTCTTCAGTTGGAGAGCCCTGTATACTACGTAAGCGTATAAGTTTAAGCTTGTAAGCTTATATTTATGAAGATTTTGTCTCTGTTTCAAATCTAAACATCATTAATTTAAATTTGTAAAGTGATCTCTATTAGGATTCGTAAGTTGTAGTTGTTGCTAGAGCAGGTTGTAATTTTCGTTTAATCAGGTTTAATAAACAACGAAATTCGCACAACATTGTCAGGTCATTCTCCCATTGTTGTCTTTGTTATATCTTGTTGTTCTGTACTATGTAATATTTATAGCATGTTGAGTGTCATGTTGCTGATAAGCTTGTGTTGGGGAAGAAAGTTGGAAAAATTAATTTGTCGTTCTATCACAGCGAGGTTCGTTAGTGTAAAGGGCCTAAAGTTGTGTTTATGAAAAATTTAACAATTACATCGTTATAACTTGTGCAAAATTCCAGTTTGTTTGATGGTCACGCTCTAAATGCTCATTTCTCTTTGTTTCAAAAACGTATTATAAGACATAACTTAATTAAATTTTTATTAATTTCGCTCATGAGCTCCAGCAATGTGTATTTTTATACTAAGCCCAGTAGCCTGTTCTTGAAAAAAACACATGAAAATGTGAATTTGAATGTTGTGATTTGCCCAAAAACGCACTCGCAATGTGTGATGTAGCAAAGAGTACTGAAGAACAGAATTAAATTACGTTAAGATCCACATTAGGATAAAATGAGACCTTGTTTTTCTTTGATGAGGATTTAGATTTTTGTGATTATGTAAATACTTATCCTCTTGACTGTAACATAAATTAAATTTTGATAGTTATGGACTAAATAGTGGTGGGTACTGACAACACATTTTAATGTTATGATCATAATATTTCAGATCAACAAGCTTCTCAGTGAGTGCGTAGCAATAATTATCTAGAAAAAAATTTTGAAACAGTATCACTAACTGTAATGGATTTTTTTGCAAAGATGTTCTTCCAAAATGCCGTTTTGCAAAGTTATATAGTGTTGCCATGCAGACATTGCAAAGTCTTTCTATCTTATGTCAGTGGCTGTCACCTGCACTTCAATTTTTCTAACATTTTGATAAGATCTTAGATAACAGAGAATTGCAAGCAATAGTAGACTGACAGAGATAGATATATAACAATATATTGTTTATATTGAATACCTGTTCACAGCTGAACAATGATTCTTAAACAAAGGAATACAATGGCCTCCTTGTTCAAACAAGCGACACACCAGGATATTTAGCTCCATTGATTTATATAACATGAATATCCTTTGAAAACTCCAATATAATTACACAGTTGATTTGGAGATACTTTGCTGTTAACTACAGTTTATCTGTTCAGATTTTTTTCAGAGGAGCTGAAAATTTGAAAATATTATTACCTCTTTGTAAAAAGGTAGTGTTTAATCTGAGGGATTTTTTTGTTTGAGATTTTTAATATTATATTAAAAGGGACTTATTTTTGTGCTGTGATAATTGTTAGTAATATTTTTATTTTCCATGTTAACAGGGCAGTCATGTCAGTCCCTCCTCGCCCTGACCCACCAGTCGTGGGCAAGGTAACACACAACAGTATAGAGCTGTACTGGAAGGCACCTGAAGCTGTTGAACAAGGCCAGGGTGACAGCAGAGCACGTTATTGTATTCAGGAAGAAGAGCTGGGTCCAAAGTCTAAAGGATTTGGCAACGTTTACTCAGGCTACAGTACATCGTAAGCTCTGCTTTCTAGTTCTGTTCGTATTAATTGTACTTAACGCAGTGAAACCTTGATGGGCAAACTAAACTATTTTTTTAACAGCAAGTTCCACTTGTGAGCAGTGCCATTTCTCTTTTAATTTTAAGGCCAACATAGTATTTTTAACCCATGGACTTGTAAACTAGCCAAAACCAGCATTGACTGAGAATGGTTTTTGTAACACTGGTGACATCATCTCACTCCACACCAGATGATATTCTTGATGACCAATTATAAACTGGGCAGAGGTTTCACAAGCATGCCTGTTTGCAAGTATGATGAATGTGAATAAAAATGTATGTATGTAAGCATAAACAAATGAGATGAACTGGGCCTCAGATACACACACTAAACCTGCAAATTTTGTTATCTTTCAAATTTTGAAGAGAAATTTGACTTTTCTTTATGGCACTTATTTTGGTTGCAAACTTTTCCAACAGAAACATTAATTATTGTGGAATGTTTGTGAAAAGCATGATAAGATAAAAATCTTTCCAAAGTTTAAGAAGTTTCTCTGGAAGGCATTATATTCAGAGCCACCTTGAATTTTGAAAAATTTGAAATCACTCAGAATGCCTGCCACATAATTATTTTAAAACTTTGCAAAGAGTTCTAACTTAACATGCTTATCACAATTTGATGATAAGAAAGTGGGTATCATCTTGTTTTTCAGTTAAAAGTAAGCAAAAATTTATGGTGTCTTTTACTGGTTGTATTGTTGCTATAGTATCCTATTATACTACAAAGATAACCGCAACTTGTTCAGCAACTATTGGGTATTTGTGAAAATTATACCAATATTTTAACATCATTCAATAAAGCTAAGAGTGGTCGTATTGATCCTGCACCAAAGTATAACTTCTGGAAAGTGCTGGAAACTGTTGACAGTCACCTTAAATAATTAAATAGTGTATGATGAATTGAACAGTTCAAACTTATTATAGAGAAGAATATATAGTCTATCAACTGAGAAACAAAAAACATTTTGTCTTTGACTTGTCTTGTTTGCCAGGAATGTTTTTGAAGGTCTGGAGTCTCGCACACAGTACCGTTACAGACTGAAATGTATGAATGATTTTGGCTCAAGTGCGTGGAGTGCAGTGGTGACTGTATCAACCACAAAGAAGCCACAAACCAGTGAAGACCTTCAAAGAGCTGTAACTAAGGGAGATGTGGAAACTGTCAAGAATATCTTACCAGGTAAGCTTCATAATCAGTTGTTTCAGCATCAAGCAAAACAGCCCTCTTATTGCCTGTGGTTTGTAAGACTTATTAAAGTTTTTGCTTTTGGTAAACTAAGGTAAAATTAAACCAAATTGAGTGTACATTTTCCTTTACTGACCCACACTTCCAGATAATCCAGAGGTTAATTGCACTACTGAACAGTCAGTAAAAATCTGCGTATAAGAACCTACATTTTTCCAAGTTTGCTAAAAAGATTCTTGTATGGTTGGTGTCTGCTGAGAATTTACTGTGGTATTAAGTTCTTAGACAGGATCTTGTTTTCTCAAGTCGAAAGATTTCTTGCTGAAAAACATTGTTATTTACAGTACAAATGTAATTTACCAGTTGGTACATGCTATCACTATCAGTAAGTGAAGATTGTTTGTACTGCAGGATTGAGCTGGCAAGCTGTTGATTCACCAGACAAGTTTGGTTTGTCTCCACTCATGATAGCAGGTTTGTACTCAATTTCACTTCTTTTTGTTTACATCTTAATTTGCTGTCAGAGCAGTTATTAATAACAATTATATGTTTGATAATAGTATGTTTTGACAAAGCCAGGTGAGAGCCGTTTTGATCTTTGTGCGTTTATCAGCTGACGGCCTACAGCAGGCTGATTCTATATACTAGACTGTTTGCTGGTCTGCAGTTAGCTGACAGGTCACATGTTTTTGGTGATTGTGTTTGGACAGGAGGGAGGGGTCTGTTCTTTAGATGATGTATTTATTTATTATCCTGTAAGAGGGCCTCTAGTTTATTAGTACATACTATTTTGTGTTACCCTTGTTAGATAAACACTTTACTTACTTACTCACTAACTTACTTACTAAAGAAGATATTGTTCCAGAAAAGAACAGAAGGTCAAGGAAATGTGGGGGGGAAAAATATGTTTTATGAAAAACACACCGGTTGTTCATTCAACTGATTCCAGAGGCCTGTTTCTCAAAGGCGCCGAAAAGTTTCCACACCCGGGAAGCCATAGCAAAATCTCAAACCTTATGATTTCAGAGCAGTTTTGTTCACATATTCTTAATATGAACAGAGGTTCTCTTCATACAAGGAGTTTCAGGCGTATACACCTCTCTGTCTTTAGATACAGATTAATTAAAAATGGCTCTGCAGGCCCTAAAAGTTTCTGGGGCTTTTGAGAAATGGGCCCCAGGGGAGGAGGGGAGGGGGTTAATCAAGAGTGGGATGCAAGACAAATGACAACCCCTTTTCCTCCAGGGTTGGAGGTTTGACAAGTGTTAAACTACCCCACCCTATAAAAACCCATTAAACTCATCACAAATAGATGTGCTTGGGAACCGGCGCCTAAAAGATTAGCAGGGTGCAAAATTCCATATGCTGAAGGGAAGTTTCCATGGCAACCCTGGAAGCAGGAACCATCTCAAGAAGTGGCTGCTAACCGGCACCATCACTCTGAAAGATATCAGTGGAAATAACTTACCTGACCAAATACTTAACAGGGGAGCAAGAATCTGCAAAGATTCACTAGCATGAGCTGTGCAAATGATCTGCAATGATCAGGTAACTGAACTGCACATGTTGTGTGGTGAAACATAAGAGCCCTGCAAATCTCCTGAGGGCTGCCCCACAGGTCATGTACCGTCAAGGAAAAAACCGCTGGCTGCATTGGTTAGAGTCTCACTTTGCCTGTATGATATGCAGCCACATGTAAATTATTAAAGAAACTCCAAGGGGCATGGGGTACCCCATGGAGCAAAGTGGTCTACTAAGTAATCCATTCAAATGATGTGAACCCTATTTTACTTACTGTGTAAAATTAGTTACATGCATCTCCATCTGGGCAGTGCTGACAGATTTTAATTTTTCTGTTTCAACTCTAGCCCAACGGGGGTATGCGGAAGTTGCAAGAGTCTTACTGGATAACGGTGCAGATGTGAACTTTCAAAGCAGCAGTGGAAAGACAGCGCTGATGATGGCTTCCTTCTCAGGTCAATTGGTAGTCTTTTTTCCTCTGGCCATGGCAGTATAAATGGGTAACCTGTGATTGCCTAGAATCCCAGCCAAGAGGACACACTGCTTTTCATGTGTCGAGAGCCTATGGCTCTACCCAATACTGCGTCATCATCATCATCATCATCATCAATCCTTGATCCTTGTTGCCCCCAGTGGGGCATGGGGCTGCCACCCAATACAGCAGCAGTGACTCATAAATACGGTCACCAACAAGCCATGAAAATGACTGGTCTAAATTGACTGGTGTCTTAACAGATGTTTATTACAATTGCACATCTAAAAAACTGTTCTTTAATAAGCATCCAGAATGCAGATATACTTTAAACTTGTGTCAGGTTGTAAAACATTTACAATGGAAAGATGAACATAGCTGGTTTGAGTAACCGTATAAACGGGGTTAAAATTATAAAAGATTATACAGGTTGGGATTTGAGGATGTGGCCGTTGGCCGTATTGACTGGTTGGTCGCATTAACAGGGTTTTCTCGTAAGAAAATGTATAAGAGGGTGACCATTTTAACGAGATTATCGTAAGGCGGAGTTCCACTGTAATAATTTGAAAGTAATTAAGGTCCCTCGAGACAATGTTATTATGTGAAGTATATAGGAAATAATTCATATTTGAACTGTGGTTGTAGAAGCCCTGATTTTTTCAGACTTCTTCTTTCCAATTGCTTAAATTGGAAAATTTACTGCGATGATCACTGTTCACTTTCAGACAATGTAATTGTTCCACATCTGCCATACAGATCAGTCTGAAATTTGGGGATTGCCATTAATTTTGATTTTTTACTTTATTTTTTTCAAACTCGACAGGTAATGTTGATGTTGCGCAGTTGTTAAGACAACATGGTGCCAACTGGGAATTGCTTGACAAGACAGGTTCGACAGCGCTTCACTGGGCAGTAGATGGAGCTAATTTGGACATGATCCGCTGGATGCTTCAAGACGGCTGTAGGGTGGACATTAAAGACGAAACCTCAGGTCAGAGAATGGCGTACATGCAAGGACAATGTTCATCAGTGTCGGCCACGTTCAACGTGTCAGTATTCTAACATTGCTCCGAGGCTTTCAGGACAAAATTGCAAATTTTTGAAAGTTTCTTTTGCCCCTCGATTAACAAGACGACACAAAGGAAACACCACCAAATGTAGAAGTTTGTCATGAAAGCCTCAGAGCCATGTTAAAATATTGGCCTATTTGCTCAGTGTAACAAACACAGCAGTATCTAATATGGCTGGAAGTATCACTAACTTACTTGTCACAACAATAACGAGACGGTGCGCAATTCTTTATGGAACTGGCTTTGCAGCTTTCTGGTAAAGGACAGGACAAGCTGTTCGGAACATTGAATTGTGTGATTAAAGCATCATCAAGTCAATCAAGCCATATTCGTTTTGCAACAATTTGTTTGATCAGCCAGTGTAATCAAGCATTTTGTTTTTATGCGATGTTAAATATACGTTAAGTTTTGCAAGACAATTTGTATGGAGCATTCATTTAGTATATCGTCCCTAGACATTCTAAGAGGCTTCTGACACTTTATTTTTCAATGTCGGACCTTGTGGGGTCCGCCCTCCTTCCTCTAATTGGCAAAATAGCTAAGGCCCGAAGAGTGGAGAAAATCTCCTTACGAGGACGCTCGATCCGCCACGGATTTGGGTAATGTTTCCTCCGCCCTAATCTCCCGAGAAGTCCTCCTAGTATAGTCGTCCTAGCGTAGTTGCTACTGTTATAGGACTTTTTACCGTGTTAATTTGGTACTTTTTTCGTAGGCTGGACGCCTCTTATGAGAGTCGCTGCTGTCAGCGGTAACGCGAACGTTGCTAAGGTGCTGATCCATCATGGAGCGAACGTGCATACCATGGACAAGGAAGGAAAAAGCACGCTTATGAACGCCGCGCTCAATGGGTTCGAGGCGTTGGTCAAGCTGCTTGTCAAGAAGGGTGTCTCTGTCAAGCTGAAATCAGAGCACGGCAAAACGGCGCTGGATTTTGCGAAATCTTTTGAGCGCGAGCGCGTGATTCACTTCCTGCAAGAGCAAGTGGAAGCTTTGAGGAAGGCGGACAATGAACGCAAGCTGGCAGAGGCGAAAGAACGCAGGCAAAGCCGAGAACAAGTGGACGCGCACGAGTTGAAGTCGGTCGCAAACGGGGCGCAAAGCGTGCCCTCCGGAAAAGAAGGCGGTGCAGTTATGTCGTAATGAACGTCTTTGAATGATATTTTGATAGAATTGGTTGAGATCAAGGGAATGCTTTCAAACGGAAAGTACACGTCAGATCACTAGACTTGTCAATGGTTGTGCAAATTACTGCAAAATGGGTTTTCGGTATCTTTTGAGAATTGTAAAATTACCGTCACGCAACCAGTTTGCTTATATTGTTGTTTGCGGTGTTGAAATTTATCGTGTCGGTTTTTAAGGTTCAAAAATATAATTATTTTAAATACTCATTAATATATTGTGTAAATATTAAATTACCATTGCTGTTAAAGCGAAGTTTAAAAATAAAGCTTAATTTATGAAATACGCATATGCGTTTCGTCTTAATTTGTGTTAGATTTGAATAACAATAAATTGAATGTTACCTTCCTGTGTGGTCCTTGCCGCCTGGTATAACGGGGGAGGAGTGGGGTGGGACGAGATGGGGTAGAGGAAACGAACATGAAGCGCTGATGCGCAGAGATGTTAGCCCTCGAGCTGGCTTTTCGAGGGGCTTTTCGCTCTTCCCTTCTGTCTTTCCCCGCGAAGAGCCTGCTCGCAGACTACCGAGATGTTTGACTGTTTGAGAGATAGTTTCACCGTTTGGCGCATGTGCAACATCACTGAAATGAGCAATCTCGTTCCCTGAGTCTTCGTTCCCTTTGATCAGCGGTCGGAAAACGAAAGCTCTGGGAGCAACCATTTTCAAGCATTTTGAAATAACCGAAATTTAGTGATTCTGCCCTTCCAGTTTCACTGCGCAGTCTGCATCTATGATGCATGCCTGAAATGGTTGTTCCCAGAGCTCTCGTTTTCCGACCGCTGGTCAAAGGGAACGAAGACTCTGGGAACGAGATTGTGACGTGAGCATAAAAAACTTCGGTCATTTCGCCTAGACTACGAGTGGTCGGGAACGAGAAACGGAACGAGCCCGGGACGAGAAATGAACATGTTCTTTGTGATTCAGTTTCGTTATGCCAACAATGTTGCCTTTTTTTTCCCTCTCGATCAGAGAAAGGGAACTTTTTCAAAGCACATCTTTCTTTGAACTTTCAGTTCTGGGCAAAGGACTTACAGTGCAGACGAACTGGCTAACAGGCGAAACGACAATAGTAGACTATAAAACAAGCAGATCGACTGATGTATAAATTTAGCGTAAGGGTTTCACACAGGAAATGTTGAGTTTATTATTCTTATTATTGAACATTAAATGTATTTGGGCCGAAGGATTTATTCCGTACATGATCACAACTCGCGATAACGACATTCTACGAATATACCCTCCCTCTCCAATTATCGATGAGTCGACTGTATATGAGCCCAGCCGGGAAAGACTCCTATGTAAAGAGGACGGGGGTACCCTTCGGAAATTTTTGAAATGAAGCCCTAAGAGGTACCAAGATCCTGTTTTGAAGGCGTGGTTTGAAATTTTTTCAACCCTAAGAGATACCAATTCTAAAAAAAACACATGACTGACACTTTCAGAATCTTCTTTACAGCGATAAACACGATTGTTTCGAACACCTTCTACTCGTAAAGTTGATGGTCAAATAGCTCCTGTCATATGGACCCATATGTGTATCTGCTCCATACCATGTAAAGTGTACTGAAAGCTCTCGCTGTGGACCTTTTGAAGCTAGACACTCCAAGAGGTACCAAAACTGCTCTTTCAACCCCTTAAAAGGTACGACGAGCACCCCGTCTTTTTTATACGGAAACTCCCCACAGGATACAAGTATACGCGTAACGTTTCCTTTCAGTGTGATATCTTTTACCAAACGGCCTTGTTAGCAGCAGGCAACTAATAAATTTGTAACTGCCGTTGACAGACGTTACTGTTGAAACATGTATTTAAAACTGAAAAGCGTTGTCCTTTTTTTAAAATTTCACATCTTTCTTTAGAAAGCGTTTTTATACTCTAAGATCTAGACCTAATGCGAAACTACGATTTTTCAGGCGGACAATTCTTTCAAAAGGTATCCCGGCTGTTTTTTTCCAACGCAAGTAACAACCCCCCAAATAAACTAAAGGCTTAGCAACCAAAACACCTTACTTAGAACAAAAATCATCTCTGGGTAGTAATTCATTTATTTAAAAAATTCCCTGAACAGGTCCGATGGTCGGTCCGATCAGCAGACCTCTAAGCAGCGAGGCAAGATGAGAGACCCTGGGAACGAAGTTGAGGGCTGTACTCAGGTCCGAGGGTGGCAAATATAACGTATTTATTTTTTCTCTGGAGTATTGCTTTGAAAGCAATTTTTTGTGTTGAGATTAATTAAAGCTGTTCAATTGAAATCTGGATTACGTGTGCGTTTAACATATCGGGCACAAAAAGCGATAGAAAAAAAGCTTGAAAAGTTGCCAAAGTGTCAAATGCTTACATTTCACGTTGTTTTACGGTGTAACAAAAAGCTTGAAAAGTTGCCAAAGTTAAAAATTTTGGAGCGGTCCTTACTCGGACAGCTGGAGCGCCCGCGATTAGCCAATCAGATTCAAGTATTTAGGATTCCGGACCGTTGAGAAGCTGGAAAAAAAAAATTGCCGCCCGTTTTGTTAAATGTAATTGTGCCGTTCGGTGTCTGACCGATATTTCTACTCCCTAGAAAAGTGAGAATTTCGTCTCCGATATGGATTTCAAGGCCACAGACCTTCACCCTTTCCCTTAGTTTTTGCATCGTTCAGAAAGAATTCGCAACTTGCAAGACGACGTGCATCTAAATCTCCATATAAGACTTTGTGACTGGTTTTGAAACTAGGACATAACAGACACGACTGAATGGGAAGTGAATAGGCTGATTTAGCAAGAGAACGGGAACGTCACTTGACGACGGCGCGCGCAGTACAAATACCCAAATATGGTCAAATTAATCAGAATCCAGGTTATTCCGCGCGCCCTGCAGTCGTCATCTGACCATATTTGGGTATTTGTACTGCGCGCGCCGTCGTCAAGTGACGTTCCCGTTCTCTTGCTAAATCAGCGTAATGAAACACAGTTCGCGCCAGGTTTCGCGCCATTGCATTGGACATAGCGGAGGTCCTGGGACCAAACCAATTCAAAATGGCGGAAGAGGACGAGATAGAAATTCGAGGAATAAAAAGACCCCTTGTCGAAAATTACAGCGACGATGAGGAAGAAGAAGAAGCTAGAAGAAAAGAAGGTAACAATGGAATTAACAGAGATTTAGTCTTAGTAACGAAATCAACACAATTATACCTCTAGTGCAGTCTCCTCGACCGTAAACATGCATGCTCGATCGACAGTGGCACAAGCTTATTATATACTTTATTTCACTTCTAATAGCCACTTCCACCCGTTAAAATAGTTTATTAAAAGCTAACTTGATGTATTTGCACGTTTTTGCTTCATTCTAAAGCAATGCTGTGGCTGCAAATTGAGAGGCATGGGTATGGCTTGTACAGTATTCTGTTTAGGTCAACTATGATAAAATAATTAACAAATTAAAAAGGCTTGTTCTGTTGTGAAGCGCGAAAGGAAGAGATGAGTGCACTAAAACAATGCAGGGGGAAACACGAGCAGTGGCGTTTCTTCTGCCTCTTCATTTTTTTGTCACTTCCATACTCTTGAGTGTGTTATGACAGAACAAAGCATGGTCAAGCCGTCTTTATCTTTCATATGATAAGGATAACCATTTGTCGAGAAATTTACTCCAAACAAGTTTTACCACAGGAAACTCAAGTTAAGTATAAGAGTTCGTATGGGTCGTTGGAATATTGCATAAAAACTTGCCCGTCTGGGACAAGTCTTGTGGCTTTTGATCAAGTGCCCATTCTCTCCTCATGTTCATCCAATATTCACTTTGCACATCGATCTCATGTTAGAGCGGTTTTCAACTGACTAGAGTGGTAGGAAACCAAAACTAAAGCAGACTATGAGTAGTCCCTCTTTCGCTTAGTCTTTCGTGTGTGACACGAGAAAACCGCGAGAAAAAATGGCTTTGCAAACTCCTGGGGTCATGTGGCCATTTTTTTCTTGCGGTTTATTTAAGGCCTTGCTCGACGTACTAAGTGAAACAGGGGCTACTCATAGTCTAAAACCAAAGTAACCACTCTGACCAATATCACAAAGAACACAGACAATATGGTGAACCAATCAATACCCCAAGTAATTTTATGTAGCTGATGTGAAGCACAGGAAAATGAGTGTGAGCGAGTCATGATTGGTTTTGGTTTTACTTTTGATTGGATGGAAAAGTGGCATGAATTTTTTAAGCCAGTTGCGTAGTGTAGTTAATGCAAAACCAATTACTTTTTGACTCTCAAAAGAAAACTGCTCTTCTTGCAATAAGTAAGTGGTGATTGATCTGTTTGTCCTCTCAAACTGTTGGACAAGCTACACGTAAGTGAAAATATGATTTTTGTATTTCTTGCAGAACACAGTGCATATCAGAGTAGGCATTGTCCATATCTTGACACCATAGACAGGTATATGGAACTGAGTAGTTATTTGATTCCTGTAAACAGTTGATACTCTTGGACCAAAAAAAACAAAACGTCAGCTTTAAAGCAGTCGCTCTCTTGAGCAAATTTTGTGGTTAGTAAATAAAGTAACACACGTTGTGATATAAATGGAGCTGCTGTTCAAGAGCTGTGGAGGTTTCACACCCAGTCAAGTTCATACCATGTGATTTTGCACCCAAATTCTCTTAGAGATTTCAACTGAGTTTGCCACCAGTTTTCAACTTCATAATCACACTTAAAAAGAAAAAAATAGTCTGTTTTCACTCTCAAGCCTAGTAATACCAAAGTTGGAGTCAAGTAGACTTCAATATTTTCTTAACGCCCAAACCATGCAGCCGAATGCTGCCTACATTGGAAAGAACAATCTTTTGATGGGCTAAAGATAAGACTAAAAGTAATATAGAGTGAGCAAAATAATAATAATGTAACATATTTGATTTTCCAACAGGCATGTGCTAGACTTTGATTTTGAGAAGCTGTGTTCTGTTTCATTATCTCACATCAATGTATATGCCTGCTTGGTTTGTGGAAAGTACTTTCAAGGTAAGGATAATGACTTTGATTTGAGTCACAGAAGTGTCAAACTGATCGGTCTAATAATGGTAATGTCGTAAGCTTTATTTTTGCGTTGTTAGGTCGTGGTCGTCGCTCTCATGCCTATACACACAGTGTACAAGTTGATCATCATGTTTTCTTAAATCTTCGCACATTGAAGGTAACGTTCATTAGTAAAAGAAAGGTGGTGAGTGGTAAAATCTCAGACTCCCAACTTGGAAGACAGTGAGAAACATGTTTGAAAATCCTAGACAGTGACTTCAATAATTTTGAACTCTGAGAGAGAACTTAGAAACAAAGAAAAACAAGACTTAGTGACTTGTCAAAAAAGATTTTGAGATTTTGAGATCAGATCAAAAGCTTCTGAGACCCATGAAGTTTTAGGTACCACTCACCACCTGTTACCAAGGCAGGAGTAAGGGCACAGAATACAGTCATACTGAGAAATGAAAAAGCCAAGCACGTGGAACAAAATGGGTTCACCTTGAGTGTGCATGCATTTAGACTTAATGTGTGTTTGCACTTACATAAATAAATTACATAATGATATTGCCAACAAAGTTGCTGTTATTAACATTAATAACAATGCTCATTAGTGTGTTGAGCCAAATCCCTATGCCAAGAATATTCTTTACAATGAGACACTTGATAGTTTTCTCAATCACAATGTTACAGATTTACTACACATGGTCAAAATAGGGGGTATAATATTATTAAATAAAGAGAAAAGCATTTGATTTTTATGTCCTGATTATTGAGACTGGCCAGTTTGAATTTAGCTTTGCTTGCAGTCAGAAGTGTTGCTTTCAGGTTAGTTTCTCTTAGTCATTGTTCTTTAATTGAAATTCTACAATTATTGTGATGATGTTTTTTTTCAGTTTTACTGTCTTCCTGATAACTATGAAGTTATTGACTCTTCTTTAGATGACATAAAGGTGAACAACTTTGTTAATATAACTTTCACTTATAATTGCCGATTATTTTTAATACTAACATTAAAATCATGTTTTCTAGGTGATTTGTACCACTGACATTATTATAAGGCCAATACAGACTCACTCAGATTTTCCAATTGCTTAAATTGGAAAATTTACTGCGATGATCATTCTTCACTTTCATCTACTACCGCAGTTCATATATGAATTATTTCATATAAACTTCACATCAATACAGACTCAATCATTTACTCTTGATTTGCACTTAAGCAATTGATATTTGCGTTGAAACTGAGAGAAGACAAAGCACATGAAATTTGTGTAAACTTATTTGATGAAGACTGTTTAATTGTTTAATGGGCTCAGAGCACTGGGTAGTTTTGATTGGTTATTAGAAAGTCTCTCAAGTCGCTGTTGTTAAGTTGTCGTCAAGTCCTTAGTATCTATGAATTAAAACAAATTTTTCATGTTTTCAGTTGTCAGCTATCTGTTGGCAGACCATGAGTAGCCTATTAGTAGATAGTTCAAAAACAGTCTGTTGGCCAATTATTTAAATTTGTTACTCTTGCTTTATGAACTTCAAATTAAATGCAAATCTTTCTGCCAGAATCATTATTGGAGAACCCTTTGGCAGCTTTGATGGCAACTTTATTGAAAGCATCATAATCAACAAAAAGTCTTTTTGAACTAGAGTTTCTGAGAGGCATGATTAAGATGTAACTTGCATACAGGAGCCATAGAGAATTTGTAGGTTCATGAAAATATGGACTTGTAATATTTATTGAGTATCGCCTGCCAGCCAACTTAAATTTAATAATATAAGGTTTGGGATATCTGTGTGGGAGGCGCAGTGGCCTCATGGTTAGTGCGTTCAACTCCAGAGTGAGTGGTCCGTGTTTGAGCCCTGGACGGGGACATTGTGTTGCGTTCTTCATGGGCAAGACACTGAACTGTCACAGTCAGTGTGCCTCTCTCCACCCAGGTGTATAAATGGGTACCTGTGAACTTAATGCTGGGGGTAACCCTGCGATGGACTAGCATCCCATCCAGGGGGAGTAGAAATACTCCTAGTCAATTCATGCTACAGAAACTGGGATAAGCTCTGGCCTGATGGGCCACTTGGCTCGTATGCAGACTTTACCTACATGTACCTACCTGGGATATCTGTGAACAGATGTATTCTTGAGGCATTGTACATTGTATCTTCCAGACTGAAAATCTCCCTAAAGGTGTATATGGTAACCTTACTCTTTGTTCTGTTTTATGCAGTATGTGTTAAATCCCACATTCACCAAAGATGACATCTCCCAGTTGGATAAATCAGCAAAGCTGTCAAGAGCCTTTGATGGGACAACCTATTTGCCTGGTAAGGAAAGTTTTTAGCTACTATTTGATGTGGTAGCTAAAACCTTCAATTAATTTAATTGATGATGTCCTTCATCATTGGTTAAAAATGCATTGCATGATATATCTGCCAAGACATGACAATTTTGCATTTATCATTCATTGGTATTTGTAAATAAAAATCACTATCAAGTCATTACTTAGGAGGACTTACATTTCAGTGATGTAAATTGTTCTTTGTCTTATGGTCAGAGTACCTACAGATTGAACTCTTTTCATTTTTAGGTATTGTTGGACTGAATAACATCAAGGCAAATGATTACTTGAATGTAGTATTGCAGGTGACGAAATGTGTAACTTTATTAATAATAGTTTGTACACAATTTAATATGTTATGTGTGACTTTTTGTTTATTCTTAGCATTGATAGGAGCTAAAACATACAGCAGGTGTGCAGAAGGTCATACATAACTGTGGAAACCTGATTTCTCAAACCTCAATTTCCATATCTCTCAATAATTTGATCCAAAAAGTGTTTCCCTTGGATTTGCTATACTGTAATTAATTACTCCCAATATCTTTAACTCCTGCCCAATTTTCAGATTTCTGTTTCCCTTCCAGGTTTGAGAAATTCCATAATTTGTAAATTCTACTCAGACCTTTTGAGTAACTTGTGTCAGTGACGTGGTACCTCTTAGGGTGTTCAGCCTTGAAAGGTCCACAGTGGAAGCTTTTGCAGTACCTTTTAGGGTACTGAGCCAAAAAAATTTTGACAGGAGATAATGATTGTGTTGTTTTAGAATTGGTACCTGTTAGAGGTGGAAAAAAAAAATTGAAGCCTCGCCCACAAAGCAGGATCTTGGTACCTCTTAGAAGTTCTTTTCAAAATTTCAGATGAGCACCCCTGTCCTTTTTTATATGTGTGTCCCCCATCTCCAGAGTTTGATGTACTTCGAAATTCTCAGAACAGACCTTGACAGATACACCTGACTTCAGTAATGAGAATTAATATTTTGGGAATCTGGAACAACTAATTCATGCTTTCTTGAAATCTTTTGTTCTTTCCTTAGGCATTGGCATTCATTCCTCCTATCCGTGATTTTTTTCTTAGAGAAGAAAACTATCAAAACATCAAACGCCCTCCTGGGGATATCATGTTTCCACTAGGTATGGGAATTAATATCATATTCATCCTATAGTCTAAGACAAGGTCAGTTTATTTATAGTCAGGAGTAGAGCCAGATGACTCATTGGCGGTGCTAATCAACTTTCCTTTCTGTAGCATGAAGTGCTTGGAAGTTATTCAAGGATCCTCAGAGATCCATCAGGGTCTGTAGAGAATCTTGTTCTTAATTAAGATCATCAAAAACCCTGGTCTTGAAAGAATCTGTAGGGTCTTTTAGGATTTTTACAATTCTTCCAAGGATCTTCCAAGATCTTTCTTGTCCAAGAGGTTTAAAGATCATCAAGGATCTTCAAAGTGTTGGCTCAAAAATCCTGCATGGAAGCTCTTTGAAGAGATAGATCCTTGCAAAAATAACAAGATCTTTTGTTTGAGGATCTTTGTAAGATATTTCAAAGGTCCTGCCAGACTCCTTAAGAGATCCTTATCTCAAAGGACATTTAGATTTTAAGATCCTCAAAGATCTTGTAAGGTTTTTCACTGGGGATTCCAATTGCTACTCTCCCCAGATGGGATAATAGTCTATATGCCTGACCGCGTTTGGTCAAGTCGCTGTAACATTTGACCAGTACCCATTTTATACCCCTGAGTGGAGACAGACACTTTGGAAGGTCAAATTTATGTCAAGTACCTAAGAACACAACCCAGTGACCCACTCCCCACAGGGTACAAATGGTTTACTGTCAGTCAACAAGGCCTGGTGGCAAATATTAAAATCTGACACTCGCTGAGATGCTGAGAAAGTTGCTTAAAATCCGAGACTCTGACTTAAGACTCCAAGACAGCAAGAAACACACAAACAAACAGACTTCATGACTAATAGCAAATGGTACTGAGATTTCAAGAAGAAGAAGTTTCCGAGTTCCACAATATTCTAGTTACCCATCATCCAGTTTATTTATTAAATTAATTTTTTGTCAATGATTTTGTTGTTAATAATTAAATATGTACTTCCTTGTTTTCCTGTTACGTACAGTTAACAGGTTCGGGGAACTAATTAGGAAGATTTGGAATCCACGTAACTTTAAGGCTCATGTCAGCCCTCACGAGATGTTACAGGTAAATTAATATTGCAAATGGTTAAATGTACAACTGTTCTTGTTGTTTTAATGAGCAGAAATGTTTATTACTAATTGCTCTTTTTAATACAGTTATTCTTTCAAAGTAGTGTTACTCTTTATCTAATGGAATAATAGTGATCATAAATAAAATTCAACAAAGTGAACTCCACTTTGGCAGATGGCTTCATGTATATTCAGTCTTGTGACAACAAGTGATTTAAAATGGTGGGTGGTTTGTAGCCGCCATCTCTATTTTAAGTTGGATGTTGGCATCTGATGTGGATGGCCTCCTTGATAGTGACTTTCTTGTGCTTGTTGAGCTTTTAAGGTTAATTTTCTCTTCTTTATAGGCTGTAGTTCTATGCAGCAAAAAGAGATTCCAGTTTACTGAACAAGGTGAATGTCAAAATTTTTTTTCTTTTCTGAGTTTAGTTTGTTTAAAGACAGTTCCTGTTGCAGTTCAGTTGATACTGTATATCAAAAAATATGTTTTCCTTTGGGTCCCTTGCATAACAACATTACTTGCTATTTTTAATCCTTCAGAAAATAGAATTATATTTGTAATGTTATTACACTGACAAAGAGTCAGGGGATAGGAATTAAAGTTATTGGCATTATTCTTGTGCAAGGAAAGTTTTGTCTGATAGCCTTGGTCTGGTGGATATTGCAGGCAGGCCAGCAGGTTCGATCCTTTGCTTGCTCAAAGGATATGTGATGCTCTTTTTGGAAGTTTTGTAGAAATTAGAAGTACAGAAGTAATTGTATTGGTTAGTTACATGTATTTAATTTTAAATCGATCATGGTAAAAAGAGTCTTTTGGGGGCTAGAGAGACTGACTTTCATACATGCATACTTTATTGGCTCATTCATCCCCACCAGGCTTTTCAGAGTCAACGTTACATTACAAAATTTAACAACCACAGAAAGCTAAACACATGACAATGATAACATAAAAAGAAGACAAAGGTTCAATAAAATTAAATAAAACAGTTATTAAGATTCTGAAGTTTTCACCTGAGTAGGTGCTTGAAATTTGTTAGGGATGGGCTAAGTTTGAGCGCAGGCCGCATCTCATTCCACAGAGAGGTCGCTCTATTAATCGAAAGGTCCTTTGGCCTCTAGCAGTGCGGAAGAGTGGTATATTCAAAAGTTGAGAGTTCCTGGTAAACCTTGTCGAGATGGCAGAACTTCTGATGAGCTTAGATGTCAATTACTCTGGAGCACATCTCGTCATGCACTTAAAAACCAGAACTGCAAAATGGAAATAAAGTTGCTGCTTAATTGGTAGCCAGAGCAAGTCTTTTAGCAAAGGAGTTAATATGTGATTGAATTTTTTAGTGCCGCGCACAATGCGACAAGCAAAATTCTGTACTGCTGGGAGCTTGTCCAGATTAGCTTCAGTAGTATTGTTCCAAGCAGAAGAGCAAGAGTTAGAATACTTTACTAAATATAGGGCATTTATAATTATAATAATCAAGGTGCAGTTATCAAAAATATGCTTAATGCAGTTAATGTGGCCTAATCATGACATACATGAGGATACAATGGAAACAATATGCTCATTAAACATTAAATGAGAGTCCAGTGTGACACCAAGGTCTCTTGCAGCCTTAACAGGCTTGAGTTTCTTCCTGAATAGAAATAACCTAAAGTTGCTAACCTTAGCAGTCATTTGTGGGCTGCCGGCTGCCGGCAAATGTATATCATAGTACAGCTTGCCTGTTGGGCAAGCCCAAAATGGGTTTTTTGAACCGTTTTGAACTGTCAAATTCTCTAAATTAACACAAGGAAAAGATTGGCAGTCTGTAAGGTACAACTTTGCTGTACTTGACTATTGTAGTATCAAGTGCTGCTTGTCATTGTGTCATGCAAAAATCTCATGTGACCCTAGCGTGGATTGTTTTCGGTTTTAGTGCCATACATTACAGTTAATTGTTTAAGAGACTGTTGACGTCTGTCTACCACAGGCTATCAATAATAGATCTTGTGTTTTCTCTTTCAACTGCCATTGTGTTTACAGAATTTTAGCAATAATAACCCCTCCACCCTTGATGAAAAGAGAAGTCCACCTAAAACAAGCCTGCCAAAAATGCCAGTTTAAAAATAATAAACCCAAGGCTTATTATGTGTGTCATTTCATATAGCCAAAACATAGTAAACAATATTAAATAACGTAATGTTTTTATTGTGCTGGCATATTCTCATGGGAATTCAGCAGTGCCAGTGGATATGTTGTGCTCTCTGTTAAATTGATCAATCATATACTGGACATTATTTATTAGGTGACCCTGTTGAATTTTTGTCTTGGTTTTTGAATTCTCTCCACACAACTCTTGGTGGAACAAAAAAGGCAACAAGCAGTAAGTTGTATTTATTTTGTACATGATATGGTACATTTTATAATAAATTAGTCTTTCTTTAATGAGACAAAATTACTTAAAATCTTACAATAGTGTAATTTTTTTGTTTTTTCATTTAACCTGAAGGTGTAATTTACAAAACTTTTCAAGGCAAGATGAGGGTTACTGCTCGAAAACTTCCTCAAGCTGAGGTTTGTGACCAATAAACAGAAAATATTAGATTTTTATTAAGTACAGGGGAACCCTGTTAATTAATCCAGTCACCAAAATCTGGCCATAATGATGAGGTGGCTGTATTAAAAGGGTTCTTTAAATAAGAAAATGACTGACTGAGTTTTTGTTTGGGCCAGACTGATAAAGTGGTTGTAATAATGAGGTGGCTGTATTAATGGGGTGGCCGTAAGGTGGGGTTCCATTGTACAGTTGTATATTTATTTAACAATGTTGTCAATAATTTCTTTGTCTGTTAACCTTTTACTTGTGTTTATTCCAGAATGAAGAAGATGTTAAAAAGGTGTTGGATGAAGAGGAATATAAAGGCAAGCACGACATGCATGAATTTTAGAAGAACAATTTTCTATCCTAAATAGTAACGCAGTTTAGATTCTGCTACACTTTGAATGGTTTATTAAATTCATTTTTTTTATCACAACATGAAACATAGGAAGCTGTGTTTTCTGTGCCCATTAAATCTCAGTCATGAAGCATATTTAGAAACATTAACCAAATAAATTTTAATCATATTAGAGCTCGTGTTTTCAATTTTCTACTGTGACTTAGCACAGTATGACACATGGTTGAAGTTTCCTTTTCTTTGTTAATGGGAAACCAAATTGACAAAATAAATATCAGCAGTTAAGTAGCTACTCAGAGTCACTTTAGGTCTTGGTTAAGCTATTNCGTAATATTGTAGGATATCAGGACAGTAGACACAGCTTCTGATTGGCTAATTGCAAATTTGGGTATGGCACTTTAACAAATTGTGCAATACTTTGGTGATCTCCTTGGGCAATTCAAAATACCAAATGTTAAGACATTATGCAGGATTCAATATCCTACGATAACCACATTAATATATTTAATATACAACATCCTTCTTCTTTGTGTCAAGTCATTGACACAAAGAGTGCTTCCTCTTTGTGTCAAGTCATTCGTCAAGAATATTAAGTAATAGAACAACAGATGACCCTTTAAATTGGTCTCATGCAGTAATATAGCACAACATCACATTTGAGTACTATGTGTACTTGATTAAGTTGGGTGTTACAATAAACAGTATTATTATATGGCAAGGTAGTCTTGAGGTCAATCCGAGCATTCTGATTGTTTCTTTCTTGGTCAGGATTTTGCCATATGACCGTAGAAATGGTCATTAGCCTTTTTTGTTTTGTTTTCAAAATCCAGCAAGCATGGCCCAAGTGCCATACAATAAACTACTTACTAACTTAACTTGTGCAAACTGTAGTGGGGATTATTGACCCTCGGTCGTTTTTGTACAGAAATCACTGCGCTTACTATATGCTATATGGGGATTAACTGTCTTACCCCTTCATCACCTTTTATTCAGTCTTGTAGTCTATTATCAGTTGTTAAATAACACATGCTCACCTTTATTACTTTGATTTAAATCTTAAAGAAACAAAGGAGAAGCTTATGTGTAAGAGTTTGGTCTTCTTTGCAATTAATAACTTATCAACTGAATAGGGATATTGTTTCCTCTGCAATTAAATAACTTATCAAATACATGTACATAAATTAAACATTAGTTGTTATCATCTGGGTGAGGCTGGACAGTCACAACTTACTGTTTCACCAACTTGTGGGCATTTGATAAACGTTTTGATGCACTAAATGAAATTCACTAAGTAGCAGAACTTTGAGCTTGCTGATCAAGTTTTGATCAACCTTGTACACAGAGTACAACCTTAGCTATATTAGAATTGTTTCTCAAATAATATGTGAAAATACTAGAGTAAGATCTGCAGACAACTAAGTTTTACACTTAACTGATGCCAATACTGACCTCTTGTTTTAGGAATATAAAACGTACAAGGAAACCTTTGTCAAGAAATTTGAGCTCACAAGATTACCACGTTTTCTCATTATGTGTGTCAAGGTTTGTAGAGTAATCTTCTTCTGTCCATCCACTAATACCGGTAGAATTAGCAGGCAGCCTGAGATTGTTATTAGTGTTAGAGGTGCTCATCATGAGGAGAGTTAAGTGTAGATTTTTCTATTGTGTGTGTGTGTGTGAGTGAGGTCCTGATAGAGTCAAACCTCCAATGAGAAGACACCCTTGCATCCACAAAAAAGTTTTCACTTACCAACACAGCCAACCCTTCACCACATGTTTCTTCTCTGTAGCTTATCTAGCTTGTGGAGGGGGAACTAATTTACACTGTGGATGTCAGTATCCATATTAGTTTGTAGTAACTTAATCTCTTTAATTTTTTATGCAGAGGTTTACAAAAAATATGTTCTTTGTGGAGAAAAACCCCACCGTCGTAAATTTTCCGGTCAAGTAAGTAGAGCATATCTTATTATTTTGCCTATTTTATAGAGCTCTTGTGGTCGTCATTCATACGACCTTCCCATCACCTGCCGGTGTGTTTTCTTCATAACAAATAATAATAAAGTACTTATTGACCTATTGATTGTTATTTCCAGGGGGGTGGACATGGCAGAGTACCTGGTGTCAGATCCTGCCATACAGGATGCACATCCTCACACTCAGTATGATCTTATTGCAAACATTTGTCATGAAGGAGAACCAGGCAAAGGTAAGCTGATGCACTTTCCTCTTACTATGTACTTACTTTAGTTTGTAAATACTGTTTGGTCTTACTGCCTGTGGGAACAAAAATAGTGGCCAGTCAGGC